CTGGATTCCGAAGCGATGATTCGTTTGTCACCTGAAAGACGATGAAAGACAAATAATGAACCATTCAGTGTTTATTTATCATTTTGGGATTCCCCTACACATAAACTTCCACTGGGAATCGAGGAAGCATTCGGAGGTGCTCTATTAGGATTATCAGCTTCTGCTTTTCCCAAAATATTGCCTTGGCTCTCCCTGGAAACCTCCGGAAGATTCTAGAAGTTACCAATCAATATCACTACTATATGTAAATTGTTATGTCTTTTGATCGTTTGTTTGTCTGTTGTCTGCCTGTTCGTCCGGAATTTCGGTTTTACCTTTCGGGCCAAGGATGGATTTTGTACGGCATGAGACAAGATGTAAGCATGCTTGACCTGTGCTAAGCTCCGCCCAGATTGTGCGGGACATGCGCCGAAATTCGAAATTCATAATTCAGTTTCTGAGCAGCCCAGAGATGAGAAAAAAGCGGACCAAGGTCAACAAGGGATGACAGACTCGAACTAGGTGGATCTTATTTGAGATGGGCGTTGCTTCCCACGAAATTCAATAATTCGGTTCTCAAGAGTTTCGAGATCGGAAACTATTGTTGAAGAAGAGGAACATGTGCTGGGAGTTGAGCATGTCTGTGGCCTGTTGAGACCGGTTTTCAGTGGGTGGAGCATGTCTCAACGCACCACAGACAGTGAGGTGCTTATTTCGTTAAAAAAAGTGTTCAATTTCAGAGTCATTCCAGAGATCGCGAAAAAGCCAAGGCGAAGCGGGGGGTCAGCGAATGAGAAGCGGGACATAAACTTTCTGTAGGAAGGGTGTGCGCTAGTGATGGCGAGGTAAACTCAAAAGTTCGCAAATGGTCTAGGGCACTCGAGACGCTGGGGAAAAAAGGAATTAAGGTCAGCAAGAAGTAAACGGATGGGAAGACGAACACTCCTAAAGCGGGCGGAGCGTTGTTAAGGGTAGGCGGGGCCAAACTCAAAGTTCTGTGAAACGGTTCCAGAGCACTTCAGACATAGATAAAAATGGTTAGCAAGAAGCCAGCGGATGGGAAGATGGGAGCCATCTAAAATGGGCGAAGCCTGCACCGAGGTGGGCGGAGCCGAACCAAAAATTCGTCTATAACAGCTTGGAGACCAGGAAAAAGAGAGTGGTAAGCAGTGTGCAGGTGAATGATGTGAGAGAGACACTCTCGGCGTGGGGTGTGCAGAGGTGGACGAGACTGGAGACCAAAGTCAAAAATTCGTGAGTCATTACACAGCACCCGAGAGACCCACCAAAACGAGCACACCAAGGGGGTGAAGGAGACTGGCTACTGAAATGTGAGAGACAGGCCCACTGTGGGTGAAGCATGCCCAGGTGTGCGAAGCAGACGTCAAAAATTTGGGAATCAGCTGCAGAGCAGCAGAAGCCCCGTGAAAAGTGGACTTATGTTATCAAAGGCCTAGCGAAGCAACTGGCGAAACATCCTCAAAATGAATGGCCGGACTTCGGAAGGAAGGCGCTTCCCACAAAATCCAGCAAATCGGTTCTTGAAAGAGTTCGGAGATCGGAAAAATCTTTGGAAGCCGAGAGCTGAGCGTGCTTTCGGTGTGCTGAGACCCGCCCCCGTAGGCTGAATATGCCCTTATGCACAAGGTACAATTTTTCACTAAGGTGCACAGCACATCCCCTTAAAAATAAACCCAAGAAAGAAGAAAAAAGAGATAAATGATCAGTACCTTCCCTCTAACCTTCTAACTGAACCCTTAATTGATAACCACCTTGAAAAAGGGAACGAAAATATTGATGTCAAAAGCATCGGGTGTGCACCTGAGAAACACCTACCTGTTCGCCATTGATTAGCTGCTTAACGGCTAATTCGACCTTCTTGCCAGAACTTGTATACTGAAATGTCAGGTTTCATTATATACTTCGATAACTTTCAGAAACTATGACCAACATCATGATTTTTGCTGAAATATTGGCAACCAAACGATTTTCAGCGCGTCTGCCACGAAAGACGCGGTTTTCACTTTCTCCGCTACTAAGAAATATGTTCTAATGGAAAGCCAAGGTGTCCTTCTTTTTCTATCTACCCATTCTCTGTCGTTTTAACTTAATTTTCATGACTGCAGAGGTCCTCATGAGTTGGTAGCATTCTTTTGTTGCACCGGCACCTAGAGTAACCTCCACACTCCTGCACGCAAAACTGCCACCCCATTAGCATTACTTCAGTCTTCCTTCGCGTTTTTGAAAGGATTAGGAAAAAGCGCATTTAACTCATTTGACATATTCCATGTGTCTTGTGTTCAGCACGGGTTTTCCCACGGTGGACTCACCGAAACACGTGCTAAAGGCTCTGAATGACTGTACAATCCTCCTCAAGAACAAGGCCGTTGGCGTAGTGTAATTTGATGGAGAATCACGCGTTCTATTCAAAGCCAAAATGGTAAAATTGAAAAAAGGAAATTTAAGTAGTTGAAAAGAACGGATAGGCAGTTTTTTGTCATTCAAATATAACCACATCTAGAGGCGTACAGGATTCCGTTCCCTCCCCAATTTTTCCGAATATATATATATATATATATATATATATATATATATATATATATATAATATAATATATATATATATATATAATATATATATATATATATATATATTATATTATATATATATATATACCAGGGGTAGCCAAAAAAAGTCACTTTGACCAAGTCACATATCAGCAAAGTTTTTGCAGCCCAGACAGACGACGTGGATACGAGTACCAGGGCCGAGGGTACGCAAGATGTTCCTCTATAAACAGGAGCTGGATCACGCCCACCACCTTCATGTACACCAAAATATGAAGTCATCTCCAGTCGCAACCTGACTGAAGAAGACCTTCGGAACTCATGTCACCTCCGAACTGCTGCGAAACTTCTAGTATGGAGTCACCCATGCATAGCTACCTGGAGACCAGTACTCTCAATCTGGGTGACCCCCAACATCGAGCAGCTTCGTCAACTTCGCTACGGTCTAAGACATCATCTTCACCGTAGTCGCCGAGGCGCGAGATGATGGTATGGACCGGGGCACCTGGAATGGGAAGACCGATATTTTCTTTGTAGACCCGGACTGAAGGTGAGCGCTGGCGGTTACATCAAGTAACTCGAGAAGAATATCCTCCCTACATGTGGTCGCCCGTACCTTCTTGGAGACCTTGTGCTGCTACAGGTTTGGGTGCCACCACATGGAATGGAAGGATTTTGGAAAAACTCCCGCCTACTTCGAATAGAAGGGCGTTTCGTACCTAAGAAGATGTAATACTGAAGTATGTCCCCTGACCTGAACCCACTCAATTATCTAGTTCGGGCGGAGTTCAATAGGGTGGTCTACGGTGGCGGAGAAATCGACTACCCCGCTGATCTCAGGTACCACATCGCGGTTGCGTGCCAGAATCTCTCGATGGCTTCTTCCTTGACATTCGAAGCGCTATAAGTTACACTTTATAAACTCTGATCGGACATTTCTATCACCACATTGAACAGCGTATTAGGTACTGCTACAGCCTCCTGGACGAGCCATCGAGAGATTCTGCCACGCGGCATCGTGGTTTGGTACCTGAGATCAGCGAGATAGTTGACTTCTCCGCTACTTCAGACCATTCTATTGAACTCCGCCCGAACCGAGTAATTGAGAGGGTTCAGGTCATGTGACCTACTTAGATAATCCACCTTCTTCAGGTACTCAGCACCCCTCCGTTTCAAGTAAGCGAGAGTTTTTTCAACGCCCTTCGATTCCATGTGGTGGCACCTAATCCTGTAGCAGTACAAAGTTTCCAAGATGGTACGGGCGACGACATGCGATATGCTTCTCGAGCTGCTCGATGTAACCGCCAGCGCTCAGCTTCAGTGGTCTACAAAGAAAATATCGGTCTTTCCATTCCAGGTAGGTCCGGCCCATTCCATCAACTCGCGCTTTGGCAACTGCGGTGAAGATGGTGTCCTAGACCGTAGCGACGTTGTTGGAGCTTTCGATGATAGAGGTCTTCCAGATCGAGAATACTGGTCTCCAGGTAGCTATCCATGGGTGACTCCATACTCAAGTTTCGCAGCTGTTTGGAGGTGACATGAATTCTAAAGGTCTTCTCCAGTCAGGCTGCGACTGGAGATGCCTTCACGAGGAATATCTTGGGTATCGTCTGCCCTGGTACTCGTATCCACCTCCTCTGTCGGTGCTGCGAAAACTTTGCTGATATGCCCCTGTATATACAGAATTCGTTGTAGGGGCCGTAGGTCGTAAAACAATAACAAAAACGCCGGTCAATATTTTTTCCGCTTTTTTGCTATAGCGTGCTGGCTGCTGACTTTTTCCATGGACACCCGTATAAGGTTAGAACCACTTCGTCACGCTGTATCCGAAGGCACGTTCAAATATAGGAAAACCATCTGATTCAGCTACACTGTTGTTCGCTGCGGACGGCTGGGCGTGTCAGGCGGGACGAGCTTGCGGCGGGCGCGGCGCCGAACCTGTTCTCCACCAGTTCTTAAAGCGAGCAGGTGATAATATTGTATCTTATCCTTCGTATTACTCGTTTTCTACCACTGATTGTCGCTTGCGTGCTTCAACAAGAAGGCAGAGAACGGCTTTGAGGGCGTGCACACTCATACTGTCAGACACGCCCAACCGCCTGCAGCGAACTAGAGCTGTAAAATGGTACTTTTGTGGATGTCAACAGGTGTTTCAACGGGAACCCGGGCGTCGAGCGCCTCCTTGTCGCTTGTTCACTAGTGTAGGATAGTTGATTGGAAGCAACAGTATCTAATTCTTGAGGGAATGCATACGCAGCGTTTGTACACAAAATCTTTATCATTTCACTTCTCAGCGTAGCAGACGACGCTCCGCAAAAGGAGGAGCAGATCTGAGATTGGCGTCTGAAGATGGTTCAGACTATCACATTTCATGACAGACGACCGCTCTGACCTGGGATCACTCTTTGGCGAGCATTGAGAAGAAGAATAGAAAATTAAAAAATTTTTGAAGACTTACTGGAATATCCTGCACTGCATGATAGCATCAGGAACATGTCGTGGGGACATCATCGTCCGTATCTGAATACAGATGCGCCGTTTCAAGTCCTCGGTCAAAGCGAAATGCTCAGCCATTTTAACGAACAGAAGGATACGTTCGTCGTTGAAATCAGGACTAAAAATAGTCGGAACAGACTGATAAACTTAGACGTGCTTAAATGACAATTCTAAAAAGACAACTTATTACAGTAATTCATCAACAATAAGAGTTTTTTAAAAGACTATTGGTAACTTGTACCTTCAGAAGCGAGGCCAATGATTCGGATCGGTCACTCTGGGGAGGGCAAGAACTCTAAACAATCCTCTCAAGAAACGTACAAAATCCCGAGACAAAGTCTCCATCTCACTGTCAATATCACTTAGGGGAACCGACGTTAGTTGGTGCTCTGTCCCACGCTGTAAACATGACGACCTTCCCTTTTAATCCACTTGTCGAATCTTATCAGCTGCTGACAGTTCTTGTCACCCGCCAATATGCTCTTGTCCCTTACCCTATAATAAGGGTTGGAATCAAAGCCTAGCTGATGCTGCGACCCGCGCTGTGGATGCGGTGGACTATGTCTTCCAACGTCCACTATCAAATCTTATCGTTTGCAACGGTTCTTGTCATCCTTTAATGATGACTAATTTTTCATAACTCGACCCTCATGACTTGACGGTCGAGTTCGCCGTCAAACGCCCCGGGGAATCACGCAAGTTGGTTCCGCTTATTCTAAATACACACTGTTTAGGCCATTGTCCCAATTGAATTTGCACATTATTCATTTACTCGACTGCTTTGTGCGATCCTAAAAAAGTGGTGGATGAGCAAAGTGCCTTGTTTCGATGCCTCCCTCCCAAAATGCATACACATTTCCATAAACGTCAACCCTATAATAAGTCATCCTGCTATATATAATCCGCTAAGTATGTCTGTCCGTGTGTGTGTGTGTGTAGTGTGTGTGTGTGTGTGTGGTGTGTGTGTGTGTGTGTGTGTGTGTGTGTGTGTGTGTATGTGTGTGTGTGTGTGTGCGTATGTCTGTGTGTCACGAAATTCATAGCGGCGGTCTAGCCAGTAGCTGTAGGAAATTGCTTGCAAGCAGTGATATAGAGGCTGTGACGGGAACATTATCGATGGGTGACAGGGAGTGATACCAGCTGATAAGATCTGTTAAGAGGCGTCAGAAGGGGAGGGTCACCGAGTTCATAGCGCGGACCACAGCAACACTGGGACGTTGGTTCCAAGGTATGATATAAGATGTGGGACATGATTATCGGTGGGTGACAAGAAGGGCTAGCAGCTGATAAGATTCGATAATGGGACCTAGAATGGTAAGGTCAGCATCCTCATAACGCGGCGCACAGCACCAGCTAGGCGTTGATTTCAGAAAATGATATAGAGTGGAAATGGGGACATCGGCGGCAGGTGACAGGAGGTGATAACAGCTGCTAGAGGATGATAAGGAATGTTGCCGTTTCTGTTCAGTCAAAGTGCTGGGGCCTTTACACAAACAAATTATAGAGTTTTAGTGATAGGAACATTGATGACGTGTGACAGGCAATCTTATCAATTGATAAGAAAGGATAAGGGGACCATTCTCAATACATCTCTTATCACTACACTGCCAAGTATTGAAGGCTCAGTGTGCAAACGTTTCCCTTAGCCATTACTTCTCTGATAGCACTAGAAAATGAAAGAAAATTAACTCTCCCACTATCCTAGTAAATAATGTCGACGTCGACGGGGGGGATGTATAATAGAAGAAAGACGTTGTCTTAGGCCAATGTCCCAATTGAATTTTCACATTATTCATTTACTTGACTGCTTTGTGCGATTCTAAAAGAGCTGAGAAGGTAAAAGCGGCCCTGGTGGCGTAACGGATAGCGCACCGCCCGGAAAGCGTGGGGTGCGGTTCGACTCCCTCCTAGGGTGCGACTTTTGCCCACAACTCAGCATTCTTCTGACAACTTCCGGAACGCGGACTGCGGCGTAGAGCAGCAGCTATCATAAGACTGTTCCGCACCACAAAACGTACCACTACTTTGTTTCTTTTATTATTTCTGTTTAATATACAACTAGTGTCTTTGTCTATTGTGCAAAAATATAAAAGAGAAAACTAACTGACACTGTTTGTCCAGCAACAATGCAGTCGTCAACTTCAGTAAAACTTTCAACGACAGAATAAATCTCGGCAGTACCTATTCGCACGCCACCGCGGTTGAGGGTTGCATCACTCCTTAAAATATAATATCACAGAAACTGTGGCATTCCGATGCTTTGTTAGACCTTCTCGAAGACTACTGACTACTATTGGACTAGAGAAATTACCAACCTTCCTAACATTATCACTCCACCAGTCTTACTACTGATTTGACAGAAGTCACCATGTGCCCATACACCATCAAATCTAGATTGTAGCGTTAAGTTGTGTAATTCCGAAAGAATCCAATATAGACTAAACCTTTCGAAATAGGACTTTTTGTAGCGTGCGCGATTGTCATCTCCAAGGAAGCAAGAAGGCATCGAAGGAAATGGTGTGAGGCAGACCAATTCTCCTCTCTGATCTTCGACAGCGCGACCTATAAAGCATCATGAGCTAGGCCAAAGATATACTGAAGGTTTTTTCAAAAATAATTGCATCGTCATCAAGCGAAATCTTCGCAGAACTTTGACTTCAAATCAAAGTTCAGCGTCAAAGTGGCGCCGGGGGAGATTTTTGGCGTCTGCGCCATCAGTAAATGTTAGAGTCGTTATCAGCAACACTAACTACCTTGCGGCAACTACCTTGTATTAGGTTGTCCGGAAAGTTCTCAGCGTTTTGGGTGTTTCACTTTAAACGATCGTAACTTTTTTATACTCATCGGATTTAATCGAAATAGGCACCATTCGAATCAGCACACTTTTACCAATGTGACAGCAGTCGAGAAATCCCATCGAAGTAAAAAACTGGGTGGTCGAAAATTCACGAAATCCACTAGGCTTTTTTGCCTGGTCCTGACTGATGAAGTATTTTCCAGCAAGGGAGTTCTGAAAATGTTAGAAGAGGTGATAGTCGGTTGGCGAAAGGTCTACAGAATATGGCGGTTGAGGTAGTAAACCCGTAAATCGTTCAATTTATATAGTGATTTGTGAAACGTGTGGGTGGGCGTGGTCATGTGAAGGAATCGGACCCTTTCTTTTGATAAGTGTTGGCTGCATCTGACAAAATTTTCGGTACAGTTCATCGATTTCTTCACAGTAGGGTTCTGCTGTGATGGTTTGGCCTGGTGATAAAAAGTTACAGTGGATCACACCAGCCGATGACCACCAAGCCGTGACCAGAATCTTTTTTTCGTGAGGGTTCGGCTTTGAAAATTACCTCGGTGGTTCGTCGAAATCCAACCACTGTCCGGAACGTCTCCTCTTATCATACATGATCCATTTTTCATCACAGGTGACAATTCGGCTTAAAAACAGGTACGTTTCTGCTGCGCAAAAGCAATGCAGAAGGAACCTCGAGACGTACCGATTCCTGCCGGGCGATTGTGGGGGACGCCAATTGTCGAGTTTTTTTTGCAAGCCTTCGCCAAATGCGTTCGGCAGAATGCGCGATACTGGGGGCAAGCAGTGGATTTGGCCAAGTCCCCAGGCCTACTGGCTTTGCTGGGCTACATCTCGAAGCGATTTGGGATGGGTCAGGCCCGAAATCCCCGCTAAGTCCTCGTGCTGATATCGGGCTTTAGGAGTCGAACCGCCATGAGGCTTCAGGGCTGCTTGCAATGGGCTGAAATCTCCGAGAACTAAATTTGTTGAGGCATGGCGGCAGCAGTGGGCTTTCTCTAGCAACATTGGGCCCTCCACACCTGATTAATTTGTTGAGCTGTTTCGATTGTGGATGCCCCAATTTATAGTCGAAGAAAAAAAGCGTCGCGAAGTGCTCTTTTCAACATGCTTGAAAAAAATCTTGGAAAAAAGGGGTTTATTAAGCAATGGTGAAATGGCAATATACCATCAGACAGCGCAAGAAAATCTCTAAGCAGGAGTGCTACTGAGAAGCAAGGCATGAATGAGTTTTTAATGCAGGGCAGTGAATGTAAGCACAAAATAGGTGGCAGGCAAAAGCGCAAAACGCTGAGAACTTTCCGGACAACCTAATAGTTTCAGCACAGGCGAACTCTCCACCGCATGTGGTTATACTACAGTACATACGAATCTCTACTGAGTGCCGTTTTCGCCCCTCTAACGTACCCCTTCTAATTTATGGAAGAAAAAAATTAATCCGCCGCAAGCGCCCGAAATGAAGAGTGATGGACACAGTTAGATTCGTCATCTCGGTAGGGAGGTCATCAGCTTCTCCCTGGAAACAGGTCAGATTTCTACTTTTGGCCCCTGGAAACGGGAACTATCTTTGAGTCTCACTCTTTCAACCTCTCACTTCATCACCATTTTCGCGAACCACTGTATGCGTTTCAACCCTGTTTTCAGAGCGTAGTCAATGAAACTAATTTCACGATTTTTTCCAAATTTGAAACTTCATTTCTTGAAATCTAACAAAGCGGGGACGAAATCCTCGTATCACTGTGCTTTCGGGTCACCCACATAGAATGCTCGTTGTAAGTCCCATTATAGGCAAGTGAATCTTCCGCAATGTGGCCCTAAATCGGTGTTCGGCATGCCAGCTGTAGTTACTGACGATGTCGTCAAACTCCCTGACTTTTTCACGACCATCTTCCTCAATTCTCCCAAATTCTTACCATTATTCCAAGTTTTTTTCCCTAGAATTCTCCAATGTTCACCCGGAAAGTGCCGTTGAGCGGGGGATATGGGGGTATACAGCACAAATGAGACAGGAAAAACAGAGAAATGCCAACAAGTAAAAACATTATTCAAAGGCTAATATGACCCCCTTCCTCCTGGTGGGGATCCCAAAGCTGCGAAGTGCCCTGCTTTCGACAATCGGCTGAAAGACCACGTCTGAAACTGAGTGGCTGTCGCTGGATCCGGCTTTTTATAGCGACTCGGGAGGGGCGAGGGGGGGGGGGAGGGCTGCAACGATAGTGACAGGCGCATCCTTTGTTGATGGTCCATCTTTGCCGACAACAGCTTTTGGCGGTGAACACATCGATTGATTATACGCATAAACCTCCACTTATAACTAAAAAGAACACCAGTAGAAACACAGAACACTAAATAAAACCGCTGCAACCTTGCACGTTTTGGACGATCACTCTTGTAAGTCCACGAATCCAGGTTGAGGGAAACGCTATGCCTCTAATTAGAAATTATTGTATTTGAAGCTGAAAGCAGCGGTGACCAGGAACGGTACCTTTTAAAAAGATTTCACGGAGTGTTCCAAAACGGACACAATTCATTCCACTCAATCTCAAGGTCACATGATCCATTCCAAATTACTTGTCACCTTGGGACAAGAACCCACCATCGCGGTCGAAGGCTTTCACGTCCATTCCCAAGTACAAACATTGGCATTCTCCGGGATGTACTGGCAGGGATAGAGAACAACCCATGAAGCATCCAATTATGTCAGTGCCGCCAGAAATAGAACCGATGACAGCCTAAAACTGCATCATCGTTAGGGGCTTGAGGCACATTGAAGTAAGTGAAAGAAAAATGAATGAATCAAGTTAGTACAAAATGAAAACAAGGAAAACAGGGGAATATACAGGGGGCCAAAAAAAGTCATTCCGGCCGAGTCAGATATAAGCGAAGTTTTCGCAGCCCAGACAGAGGAAGTGGATATGAGTACCAGGGCGGAAGATACCCAAGATCTTCCTCTATAAGCAGGAGCCGGCTGCCGCCATTCACCTTCATGTACACCAAAATATGAAGTCATCTCCAGTCGCGGCCTGAGTGGAGAACGGCCTTTGAAATTCACGTGCCCTCCAACAGCTGCGAACTTCTGAATGAATAACCCATGGATAGCTACTGGAGACCAGTACTCCTGATCTGCAAGACCTCAAACATCGAGCAGCTCCGGCAACGTCGCTACGGTCCAGGACATCATCTTCACCCGACTTCACCAAGGCGCGGGTTGATGGTGTGACAGGCCGTACCTGGAATGGATGAACCGATATTTTCTTCGTAGGCTCCAAGACTGAGGGGTGGCGCTGTGCTACATCGAGCAACTCGAGAGAATATCCCCTCTTCATGTCGTCCGCGTACCTTTCTTGAACTTTGTACTGCTACAGGATTGGGTGACAAACACATTTAATCGAAGGGCGTTGGAAAAACTTTCGCCTACTTGGAATGGAAGAACGTTGAGTACCTGGAAAAGGGGGAGTATTTGAGCGGGGGGATCTAAACCCCCTCAATTACTCGGTTCGGGCGGAGCTCAACAGGGTGGTCTACAGTGGCGGAGAAATCAACGAACTCGCTCAACTCCGGTACCCACTCACCTTCGCGCGGCCGAATCTCTCGATGGCGCTCCTCCAGAAGGCTGTGGCGGAGTATCATTATAGTATTTAATGTGCTCTTTAATATGGTAGTAAAAATGCCCGATAAAAATTTAATAAAGTGTAACTTATAGCGCCTTGAAAGTCATGGAGGCAAAATGACTTTTTTTTGCCCCCCTCCCGTATATCCTTTGAAGGTTCTAAGCTAGTCTGCAACCGACTTCTAAATTTCTGGCTTCTGCTCCGCCCACCTGGACGCATGCTCTGCCCACAATGAGCGTTTCTCTGTCGCCTCAACAGCCAATCTCCTGCACACCTTTCTTTATTTTCGCGGTCTCTGAGGTGCCATGGAACCGATTCAGAAATTTTGGGTTTCGGTTCAGCCCACCACCGTATTCACTCCGCCCACTCCCAGCGTGCCCCTCCCACGTCTTTTACCGTCTGCTCACTTTCAGTCACTTTTACTGGTCTCCACGATGTTATAGGTGAACTGCGAATTTTCGCTATGTGTCCGTAACCGATCTACAACTTTTGAAATGAATATTGCATGCTATGCGTGCATATTGCTTGAGGGCAAGCTTCCCTTCCTTCTTTGAGGTTCCAACATACCAAGGGCAACTTCTGCCAAAAGTTTTCATTCCTCCATCGACTTCTTTGCAATCTCTATCTATCACGAGAACAGAGTTATTGAATTTTGTGGGAAGAGTCGCCCATATCAAGGACGCCCCGTCCATTCCGGGCACATCTCAGCCGATTAGTCTGCCAACCTCTTGCTAGGCTTATTCCACTTTTTCCCCATCTCAGGGCTGCTTTAGAGCCGAATTATGAACTTTTTCGGTGGCACCATTACCTTTCGGCGCATGCTCCGCCGACTGTGCGCGGGGCTTAGCATGTGTCAAGTGTGCTACTTACATCTTGTCCCATGCCCTACTCATTCCAACTTGACCCGTCTCTCCAAGTAGCTGTTCATTTTGAACCGTACTTGTGGATAGATAGACAGACGTAGCAAATTATACCTATACAGTGGATGATCCCAAAGCGTCTAACAGTCGAACGACTAAAGAGAATTCCAATGTATCCCAGGTGAATTCGTGATCAGTAAAACATGAAAATTGCGAACTCACTCCAGGACTAATGCTATTATTGATAAAATGGAATGCAGCAGCTTTCAGTGGTGAGGCAGTTGAATAAACCAAACGAATAGATCTCAAGTCGTAAAGCGACTCTGCAAAACAAGATGAAAGTGGATTAAAGAATGTTGACGCACTTCTAGTACGAAAGAAGACGCACTTATTAAGAAATAGAACTAATTCGTAGCATTAAAGTATTGTGCAGCTGACAAATTAGATAGGAATGATTTCTACGCATGGTGCAGTTAACTTAGCAAACACTATTCTATACAAACTTTCTGCTTTGAGCGCAAGGGAGATCATGGGTGTGGCTACGTTATTGCGCGCGGTCATGGCGACGTCAAAAGGCAAAGTTATACGCTTATGAAGGGGGTTGCTTGCTATGAAATTTCATAGTTGGTAACTGAGTATCACCTAAGAAGAAAACGCAACCGATGTTTTCTCTTCTGATGATTGAATGGTATGTACGTGCTATAGCAACATAGTGAAACATACTGAAATCGACATTCATTTTCAAATATTCGTCGTATAACTTCGCACCCATTCCAATAATTGTAGCTTTTGTCATCGATGCAACCTGAAATACAACAGCAATGGCATGGAACCTCCGGCTGAATGCGAGCTTTCCTTTATGGAAATGCCTACCTTGCACGTAACAAAATTTTGCAGGATTACATGTTCTAGAACGTAGCTCTTTTTCGCGGCAGCATAGCAAACGCAAAGATATACTGGAACGGGAGCACATTAACCAGTGTGCGGGAACTGGTGAAGGGATTACTTTAGCAGATTTGAGACCGTAAAGCAAGCGCTGCGGAATCAAAGCACTTCATCACAGCATCCAAAAAAAAGACCACTGATCGTCAGGATTGTTAGGATACACACGACAGATATTTTAAGGAAAGTGCTAGAAAATTTCGCCTAAATCTGCTGACTCCGTCAACTTCAGCAAGATCACTATTTATGTGTCGCCATCTATGTAAAAGTGTCTATGAGGCTCCCGCAGCCACACCTTCCACAAGTAAGGCACCAATAACATTATTTAGCCGCAACCTTCTTAGCCCGCAAGAACCTTCGCCAACTTTGCAAAAGTTGATCCAAACGATCATCGCTCCTCTTCCTGTTAGTGCTACTGTTGCTGAAGTTGCCTTTAAACCGAAATGGACCCAAGGTTGAGAGTTTATGTGGAGGTACTACTTGTCCGGAAAGTTCTCAGCGTTTTGAATGTTTCACTCTAGAGGCAGTCGGCACGATACATACCCCAAGACGACTAGGATCAATACTCCCGGCAGGATAGAATTCCGCGACCCTAGGCAGACGCTGCATAGCGGTTTCTCTCGAAGAAGGTGCCTTATAAGGGCCCTATCAAGCCGCAACTTTACATCCCGCTCGCCCACAAATGGACGACGGTTCCTGGCGCTCGTATTCATCCATTTGCTAAGCAAATAATGAGGCGAAAGGAATGGTATGAAGCGGCCGTGATGCTGCATCATACGTGCGTTCACATATGCAGTCGTATCTTCGGTAGCGGTGATTGGCAATATGCCTACAAGAAACTCGTCCGAAATCGGCTTTCAAGTCACTGAGAACGGAGGTTTTTCTTCGCAGGATTATGACCGTTTCACTCCGCTCTTTCGCCATTTCCCCGCTATACAGCGCCCTACTAGCATTTTAGGCTAAGTAGGAAACCATCGTGCCAACTGCCTTCAAACGATCATAACTTTCTTAATGCTCTTAGGATTTAATCAAGGAAAAACTGGGGTGGGGGGGGTGGTCGAGAACCCACGAAATCCACAAAGGCTTTTTTTCGCCTGGTCCTGATTGATGAAGTGTTTCCCAGCGAGGAAGTTCTGATAACGTTTGAGAAGGTTATAGTCGGTGGTGAAAGGTCTGGAGAGGTAGAACTTCAATCCCCAATTCGTTCAATTTATAGATAGTGATTTGTGAAACGTGTGGGCGGGCGTTGTCATGCAAAAGAATCGGACCCTTTCTGTTGACAGGTCGCCTTGGAATACAAGTAAAACGCAATTTCCTGAAGCGAATAACATCTTAGGTGCTGAAAAATAAGAACCGAAGATGATGACGAGGGCCAGAACTCAAGAACAACTGTGCTGCTTCTGCAATGTCCCTCGGAGGCCGCGCATCCCCGCAAAACATTAGAGTAATTAGAAACAAAGAAAAGCAAATACTGAGGAAAGGAATACACTCCAAAGCATGATGATCCGTTTCGCCCGTTGTCGGCCTAAGCGTCCCTTTCGTTAGTTTGAAGTATTTTTATGGCTTTGGAGCCGGAATCGCGCGGAATTGCGGAAATTCACTCGAGATTTCAATTGATTTGCATTTCGTTGATTTTTTGATTTTTGTTTTACCTTCGTTGTTCTTTATTTCTAGCCTTTACCATCTTCATCACATTCTATTGGACTTTGCAGCATGGGCAACACCCTCAGTTGTTAGCCGCATCAGGAGTTTGCGTTCTAATTGTATTCCAGAGCGCAATTACACAGCTTGATAAAAGGCCAAGAAAGCTGTGCGCTACACGCGCCGCGCGAACAGCTGTTAGTATAAATGGGATCGGGAGTCTGCGCCGCAAGTTGCATTTTAGGCGGAGCATATAGGAATCAGCGCGTCCTACGGCCCTGGTTCTCCATTCCTGCGCATGTTCGGACGGGGAAACCGCTACGCTTCGACAGCCGAGGGGCTGACAATCACTACACTCAAACTATGTGTGATCGTACCATGTGTCTTTAAAAGCGTGGCGTATTGCGCAGATAATGCCGACTCTCTGCTAGCAGGCACGCAGGAATAGCATTTTCTCAGACAAGTATTGCATTTATGACATAAAGTACTGGACAAACCTTGAGAAGAATGTGAGGATCGGGTTCCAGCGGACTCTCATCAAACAGAACAACAGATCCACCACAGTAAATGAACGACATCAGCCTTAAAAAAGTTTTTTCAGAGGTGCTTGCCTGATTTCGGTATTTTCGTTGACTACAGATTGATCGCGAAATCATTTTTATCTCATCGCTTGTACGGTTTACAAAGAGCATCAGCTTCGGACCGACTTGAAGTATGAGGAAGGCTTCTTCTTGTCAGGTTATCGTGTACGATGTCTGAAACAGTGACTCGTGTTCTGGAACTGTCCCTTTCGGGCTCTTATGAAAGACATCCGCTGTAAGCGGTGTGGGTAGCATGGATGACTTTGTTCCAGGATGACTCATGCCTTTTCGGGGCGGAGCGACAGCTGGATCGAGGAGACGTCTCGCCGCACGGGTTCAAGACTGCAGCCTCTACCTCCCCTCTCCCTTCCTGAGGGCAACGCCCTCAATCTCCAGACCTGCTTGATCTCCGTTCCTTCTTATCTGTGTATCGTGTTCGCGTAGCTTATCTCACTTCAGAATGTATTTCCTTCGTAAAGTGCCATGTATCTCGTCGTTATGTACGCAGCATGTTGACTTCGTTTGCTTTTATTCATGTACTCACGTGCCAGATAAATTTTGTACTTAGGCTGCGTTCATAACGTGCGACGGGTCGTCAACGCCGTCCGCTCTTCACTCATCGGCATATTTGAAGCGCGAATCTAGCAGCCAATTATTATGAAACAAACAAGATTCACCGGAAACTTGCAGGGAAATCCCAGAGAAGCTGAAATCAAATATTTTGAGCAAGAGGTGAAGTGAATTGGTGTGGTGACATGCCTCGTGATTCTATTGTGTGAAAACCGCTCAAGATTCAATTTCTGCGATTTGATAGTGAGTAATGGAGTAGATCTGTCTTTCGATTCTGCGGAGCATCCAACTTATTTAATAGTGTCACTTCTACTTACAGCCGAAACGGTTCACCTAATTCCCTTGTAGATTAGGCAAGAATCTTCCACCCTACAGTTGTTTCTTTGCACTTTCCAGCCTTAGCTGTTTTATCATTTGAAAATAGCACCTCAGAGCGGTGTTATATTCATGCACGAAAACACGAAAATACTGCTATTTTGGCCGAGGAGAGAGTAGCAGAGCGGATGAGTCATCGCGAGCCGCGTGGTCCCCCCCCCACCCCAAATACGTTAGCACCCTTTTTCACATCTTATTTACATCCTTTTCTGTTTGTAAACAATCTCCCTATCGCCTTCCATCCTCTTGAGTGACCTTACAACTTATCTTCTCCAGTTTTCGAGAGAAACACCATGACATCGATCCCACGTGGCTTACGTGGAATCGATGTGGTTCCCAGTATATGTAGTGTGCAGCACAACGTCATATTGCTGTTACTCGTCTATTTTCATTTTATTTTATTTTTTCTATATCACTCGACGTATATTTGTTGTACTCCGTATTCGTAATTAATCTTACTGTCTTTTTTTGCAATGCACTAATTCTTATTCAGGTCGTGAAGGCGGTCCCGTAGTTGGAGAGCCCGCGAATCTAATCCAAAAGGCACCGCGTTTTTCGCCAGCACTTTCGATACGCATCTATTGCATTTCGCTCTACCGCCGAACTATTTTTATGACTGTTTTGACTATAATGACTATATTTTTGTTTTTCTCCCAACTGCCGTTTCGTCAGGGTCGCAGACTGTGGACAATGTCTTGAATATACACCCGAAAAAAATTGCCGGACAAGTTTTCCGCACTAAAGAGAAGTCATTACTCTGCTAAGGCGCACAAGTTATCTGACATCGACCAGCATCTTTTCCATTTCTCTCCTGACGATGGGTTGAGATCCACAGAACGGCGTCCAAGACAGGGCACATCACTGGTTGGGGATTTTAGTCCAGTCTGTACCACCCCCCATTTTTTTCAGGGGGTTGGTACGAAACCTCCCCACCTTCGGCCCTCTGTCCTCCTCATCGATTCGAGGCGTCGAGGGGGGGGGAAGCAGATGCGAAACAGGAAAAGTTGCGAAACAATACGACCCCCCCCTCTACCAATTTTCAGATTTTCCCCGACTTCCTGCCACTTTTTCCACAAGTTCCCGAAAAGTTCCCTACTTTCCCCCAAGAATTTTCTTGTCGAGGGGGGGGCATATAATAGTTCGCATAAAACAGTATCACCAAAAGTCAACCAGCACTCCTACAACGCCAAGACGTAAATACGACCACACTCCCTTTTATGACGTCCATGAAGCGAGAAAAATCAGCTGTCGAAATAACATTTCCCCGGCCCAAATAAGACCCCTCTCCCGGCGACCAAATATACAACTAATACAGCACTTAGCTTCACAGCGGTACGTCATTGGTCATTTGTCCCGCATTTTTGGCGGGTGAAGGTCCAGCCGACAGAAAATCGAACTCATGATTATCCTATTTCGTTCTAAGTTCCCGTCGCTGCTTTGCTCTACCTTTCAGTTCTCGAAGTTTGTCGGTCATAAGCTTATCATAGCGTGTATAAGGTATGTTCTACATGTCTCGTTCTACATGTGCCGTTGTATGAACTCTAACGTTTGTATTGTCTTGAATCTTGAACACTTCCAAAAACGTAGACGCTTGGCATCTACACGGCCTAAAATACATTTTTTCAGTATCTTTTGAATTATTGTGCATGTCAAAATGAAAATCTCATTGAATATAATCCAACTCAAG